GAAGGGAGCCCTGCCGGAAACCCAGGACGCCTTCCCGGCCCCGGCGGGGGCCCGGGGGGGGGAAATAAGAAAACAAAGAAACTTTTCCCTGCAAAAGGGGGGACCCGGGGGGATAGGGTGGGAAGAAAACCGAGGAAGTCCCCTGGGATTTAAAAAAGTGGCCGAAATGGGGTAAAAAAAGAGGGGACAGGGGGGGGGGTATGGTTCCCTGGCCTGGGATCCCTTAATGGGGGGGGAAAAAAAAGGGCCCCGGCTTGTTTCAACCGTTGTTGCTTTCCCTGGGGGCAGCTCGGCAATTTGATCATTTTTTTTTCGCGGCAACAAAAAATTTTTTTTTGGAGGATTCCGGTTTTTCCCTTTTGCCCATTTCCCAAAACGAAAACCCCCCCTTTTTTCGCGGGCTTACAAAACAAAAACGTTGTCCTTTCCCCCCCCCCCCCCCCCCTGGCGCTGACACGACCATAAACCCACGCGGCCCCGTCAACCTATCGGCAAACTACGAAGGCTGAGGGACTGTATGCGGAGTCACAGCAAGAGAAGGATCTCCTCACCGCGGAGCTCGAGAAGTGCCGGAACACTCTGGAGGTGATGACTGACGAACGCTTCCTCTCCTTCCTTTCGTGATTCGTGGCAGGCTTGAGTTCTGTTTCCGCAACATCAGCTGCGTAGTCCAAGTACAAAGACCCAATTTTGAAGCGAGACCAATAACCTACCTAGACGTCAACCCCCTGTGTAGAAATGCTTCGGAACAAGCCGCTGCATCAAGCGAGTACCCTTCACGGGAACCTCGTTCGCCGTTCTCGATAACGAACGGTCACCCAATAATCCTTGAACCTTGATCTATCAGAGTATTAGACGAGACAAATCAAATGCCCTAGAGAAAGACGGCCACGCCAAAGCTTTCTTCCAATCAACAAAGCACACGGAAACAACAGAAGAGCTTTCCCCAACCTGTACTCCTCCTTCTGAAAGTAGACCATCAACGGAGTGCGAAGAGAAGGCCTTGTTGTTAAACGCCCGATTCCTCGTGGCCGGCGTGACCGAAACAGGAGTGCGAGTCAAGCCTTGTGCACAGTGAGGCGGACCTGAAGGAGCAGTCCGTGACCCACTCTGTCGCCACGTGGAGAATGGCCGTCGCCTCGATCAACCTTCGCGTCGTGAACGAAAAGGTAGGTTTGGAAGTTGTTCGTTTCGTCGCCCGGAATTGGTTAGGGAATGGACTTGCGTGTGACGGGATTGGGCGCAGCTGTCCGTCACACCAGCGTGGTATCGGAAGGTACACGTGCAAGCTGTTTTGATTCTGGACTGTTCGACGACGTGGGGCGGAGATGGCCTTTCTTGTTTGTAGTTTCCCACTGCTGTTTTTCTGTGTTCGTATTCATACAAATGCCTAGGAAGGGGTGGAGTGATCGACGTAGTTGGCCCGATTCGGCGGGCTTATCTGTGATGATCTGCAGGTTTTTTAGTATGGGGGAGGGGGTGTGCGGTCCGGGAGACTTCGTGCCGACGTTCGGAGAGAGCGTCAGATGGGTGTCATCGAGCTGACCGAAGTCGGTTTTCCCGCGCCAGTATACCACAGAAAGGACGCGCGAAAGTTGCTTGCGTTGGCCATTCCCCGTTGACAGCAAGACGTTGCAAGCGCAGTGGAATCGAGGGGAACGCCACACAAGTTTATCAGAGGGTCCTACAGTACGAAATAGGTTAGTTTCGCAGCATCATCCATCGTCTTCAGAGATACAAGAGCAACACTATCCTAAACGCCTTTCTCATTATTAACAGCCACAACGACGACAATAACAAAACAAAGGACCAACATCAAGGCTCACAAACACAAGCTTTCATATCCATAGGCGGCGAAACAACTTCGCGACGAGGCAGCCCAGCGGGAGGCGGAGGCCGAGTCGATGTTCGAAGCACAGAAGGAGACCCTGTACACGGTAGTGGACGAATTGATGGACATGGCGTTTGATTCCCGGAGGCGGTTCGCTTCCATGCAAGAGACTTTGGTCAACCACAAACGCGAGGTATGGCATTTTAGCTTGCGCGTTTCTCGAAAATTGTCACACAAAAGCAGGATGGGCGGATTGATTGCGTCGTCCACATCATCAGCCGTTTTTTTTCAAGGGAGGAAAGGCCATTATCCGAGCGTTTTGATGGGGGGAGAGGACCGCAGTTGTATGACTATTCGCATCGTTTACACCGAGTCGCTATTGGGTGAAGTTCCCCATATGAATCATGACCACCGGTCGTTCAACCCGGAGCTAGTTCGCTGCTGCTGTTGGATCTCAGACGTTGTCACGGATTGTGTTGACCTTCCGCCGGTGGCGGGCTTCCTGGTGCACCGGAACCAAACACGAACTGGACAGTATTTTCCTCCTCATATCACATACAGAGCCTCCACAGGCAGACAGCTCGGACCGGATAGGGCAACCACGCAGATGCGCGCCTAGATCTATCTTGTCTCAACTCATTGTCGGGTTGTACCCTTGGGCTTATCTCGCGTGCCGATTCCCTGCGTGTGCTCCTCACCGTGCAAAACGGTGCCGTCGTGAAACAAACTACTACCGCTCTCAAGGTACTGATTGACCACAAGGTACAGAGCAAGAGCTTGCACAAGGAGCTTGACAGCCTCGCAAGAGATCGCCAGCAGGTATGGACCTATGTGTGCACACTTCGGGGAATGTTTTCGCATTCATTCATTCTCGACGTCCACGCAACAGAACCATCGACTGTAGTCCGCTAGGCGACGTATCCCCTCTGCCTCGGCTTCGGAACGCATGCTTTGGTCAACGGAAACAAATCATTATCACCGGTAATGGATACGTAGAACACCCCCCCCCCCCCCCGTCCTCCGCGATCAGTCTCATCATTGATGACGACAGTGGATCTCCTCCCAAAAAGGTTCGTGAAGAACCGATTTGATCGAACAGCCACCAATAGCGGCTGCTCCGGTGGAAGCCCGCCGAGCTTGAAGACAACATAGCGTAGCAATTTGCAAGCGAACCCACCTTTCTACAAAATTCCGACATCGTCCTTTCAAATGTATCGTCTGTCGTCTGCTCCAATCGACCAGCTCGAAGAGCAACGTTTGCTGCTTCAGCGGGAGTTCCGGGAGCTGGAGGGCCAGGCCAAGAACGCCGAGAAGGAGGCGCACGCCCACTCGAGACAGAGCGCGATAGGACCGGATGGGATGATCATCCCGGCCAGGGCTCGCAAGAAGCGCAGGCTGGACGAAGAGCTAGAGGGGCTCCTGGAAGCCATGGAGGTACTTTTACTGCGGATGAAACTATTATCGCTGCGTTGTTTCCGATACCACGTTGATTGCACCTGTTTCCACCAGCCGTGGTAGCTGCTCAAGGCTTCGCCAATTACCTCGAAGCCGCCCACCTCCAGCCCCCCCCTCACTACAACTTGTTCGCCAATAAATGTCGGCCGTATTCTCCTTAGTGTTCGTATGTTTCAGGGGAGCACAGGGTATGAGAACGGTCGACACCGAGCATTCGCCTCCTCGTCCGTATTCTAAACGGCGCTACTCCCTACCCCCTCGGCTGTGTTCATGTTTAGTACTTCTACTTGGTTCTATAGCAAATAGTTGTGGTCGGCAAAGGTCAATGCGCGGCGAGCTATATTTCGCGGGCATTCAGCCAAGCAAATGAAAGCGAAATTGGACCGGGCTTCCGGAGCCGTTTTGGAGGCGTCTTCTCTGATGTCTTGTCCATTTCATTGATTCAACGTAGCCCCCTCAGCCCGGAAAACATCCAGTGGCAATTGACGTCCTACCTGTTCCTAGAAAGTACTTGTTTCTTCCCCTGCCTGCTATGCCAAGGGTTTTAGGACCGTTCCGCCCGGTAGTTTTGCGGGTCTGAGGCTTGGCCTAGCGCCTACTAGGAAGGGTGATGATGCCCACATCACTCAGGTGGAGACCTCCGGCGACCAAAACTCCCTGCTGAAAGCCAGGTTGAACCGAGGTTTCCAGTGCCCTAGAACGGAGGCATTCTTCTTTTTTGAGCGAGCTGGTTCGACGCGGCACACCAAGCCCGGCGAAAGCTTACGGGGCACCGTTTAGTGTCCGCGAGGGTAGCAGTGAGTGCTCCACCACCAAGGTATCGATGACATTACGGACTTACTACAGTGTAGATTTATTCTGAATTCGAATCCGTTTGCTCACGCAAACACATTCTTTAGGCCAAGCGGAAAGCCCTCGTCGCGGTCGATGGCAAGCTGGGAGGGTTGGCCGAGTCGCGGGCGGAGAAGGAGGAAGAGATGAAGGGTCTGGAGAGGACTTTGGTTCAGGTTCTGGTCGAGCAACAGAAGAAGCTTCTGTCGCTGCTCAGCGAGGTAAGTTGAGGACTTGGTTGTACCGCCGCACACAACTGGTCGAACATGTCACGGCCATTCACGCTTGGTTCGTGCCTTCAATTTTTCACCAAAACCCTCTGCCTCCATAGGGGGATCCGAGTTTGTTTCTATGTTCATTGAACAAGAGAGTAGATAACGAGCACACACCGAACATCGAGGACACCCCCCTTCCCTTTGTCCTGGCCGTTTCTTTTTTCTGGGATACGTTCGTATCCTGCCTGCAACAACAACGATAGACCGGCGAACAAGCAGAGCAGCTGCAAGAGATAGATGAGCGAACCCGCTCCGCCAGGGATGAGGCGAAACGACGCAAGGCCCAGGCAAAGAGGCAGCAACAAGAGCGCGGCGGTGGCGTAGCCGGCTAGAGAATTGGCTGGGCACATGAGATTATGCAAGTCTCGCCACCCGTTGTGTGGTATGTCAGGAGCTGCAGCTCTGTTTGAAAGCTACAACAACGCAAATACAGCCGTTGGCTTGCTCGAATGTTTCCACGGAACTTGGAGGGTTGGAAGTAGTTGAGCACGGGGCACGTTTAATCCGTCGCTTCGCAGGGGCCATTGAGTCGTGTGCGAATTTCTCGACAATCTTTTGGGTCTAGGCAGGGGACGGCAGAACGAAACAGAAAAACTCCTATCTCACTCACCGATGAGGGAGGCTGAAACTGAATTTGCTCGCCTACACTGCTAAACGGGCCCCTATGATAGTCAAGGCTCCGCATGGCGCACTGTACTACCTCTCGCCGGACTAACGCTGTCCAAGAGCCTAAACCACCGACCTAAAACCCGCAACCGCGATTGTAACATCCGACTTGGGACTTAGGCGTCGTTTGGGTTGTTTTGCCCATATCCCTGTGTGCGTGGTGTCAGCTACGCACAGAGATGTGACCGACGCAACCGTCCAACGCGCGGAACAAGCAGCGTAAGCAAATCATGGTCGCTGCAATAAGCGCTCCTCCGGCCTACATCTTTCATTCTCATCAAGGTGCCTGGAGAAGGCTATAATCGCAATTGTAAGTCCTGTGATATCACAGACAGGAGTTGAGTGGGGGAGAACCTAGAAAGCTAAAGCTGCTTTGAAGAACGAGCCAAGCGCGGTGGCTGCGTGATCGGGTAGATCACGAAAGACGGATACATACGTACACGACGATTGGGAGAAGTCGTCGCGGGTGTTTTCCGATCATTGGCGATCCAATTTGAAAGCAACAGGAAATGCGCTGGCCCCCTAATAAACGAAGGCAAGCAGACGAAGACTTCAACCACACGGAGCTTCTCTCAAATCGCCGCCAAAGGCAACGTGACAGCGAAGCACTCGTATTATCATCAAGTTAAACAAACGCTCGCGGGGGACAACAAACGAAGCGACACCTTTCGACCTTGGCACGTAGGGGCCGGCCGACGCGATAGAATTAGGGACCCCTGACCTCGAAAACCATCGCAACGCAGCAGGCGCGCGGCAACCAAACGATCAGCACCGAAACGCTAAACCATCACCAAAGCATTGCACAACTGGTCAACACGGCAATGATCGTCCTTACACGCCTGAGGCAATACAGAAAGTGGCGTAGATGTTAACAACAGAAAAGAGCGAAAAAAAAAACACACACGCACGCACAATACGCACGATTGTCAGCAGCGGCAAGTCAACACACACCAACACACAACACGTCCGAAGAACCACGTCGTACGACCGAACCATCCATGAATTCTCGACGTCACGACACAAGCGAAAAACCACCACCACGCTGTCCAACCCACCGGTTTGGAGCCCCCGACTTAAGGCGGACAGCAAAAGCAAAATTGATACTGCTGCTATAGACTAGACACCTCTGTTTCAGGTGGAATAGCGAAATACGGTGTACTACCGAGGTGCTCCGCTGCCTTCCACAGACACCGGACGACAACCGCGATCCCATACAAACCAAACATTCCCGAGAGAAACCATAATAAAACTGTGTCGACTGTCTACGTGCAGAGAACGTGGACATCCAGGACAGTCGGAGGGAGTTCAAATGGCGCACTCTTTGGAAGTACGTCTGAACTTTCCTGTGTGAAGAAGTCCCAGCACAATAGGATGGGATGCGGTGACACCACACGGGTGTGGTCGAGTGTACGATCGGAGAGAATTACCCCCCGCATTAACGCATTACGTCCTCACCGTCGACACAAAGATCACCAGCACCATTCATTATCATGCACACCTTGCCATTTCCACCCCAAGCTTCCCCCCCCGCCGACGACGACAAATGCACGTTGGCACGAGATAGCCCCTGTAGACGTCGGGCTCAAACTGTCCCTAGAACATTTAGCACCGCAACGACCTACTCACTCCTCAGGGCCAACGTTGCGCGCCCCAGAAGTTTTCGTGGGCTTCATGAACGAAGGCGCTCCGACGGAAGACGGCCTGGCCTGCTTCGACGACAAGGCCGACGCCTTCGTCGATGCCGCCTTGAAGCCACCACCGCCGCCGCCACCGCCGCCGTCCACTTTCGCCCTTTTGTGGGATGCGGCTGACCCGGCTGCCGTACCGGCGCCCGGTTGTACCGGTCTTTTTCCACTCCCGGAGGAGGCGTTTCTCCCTTCTTTGCCTTTGCCGGCGTCACACGAAGAGCCCACGCGATCGATCGTCCCCGCACGGCTAGCACTGCTGTTACCGCTGGACCCAGCCACCACGGACGTTCGGGCCGTCTTCGCCACCCCTCGTGCTGGCAGGCCCGACGTGGCACCGTGACCCCGCTTTTGTTGCGCAGAAGCGCCACCACCTGCGACAGGCTGCTGCGACTTCGTCGTGCCCACCTGCGTTCCGATGATCGGTGACTTTTGCTTCACGACCGCCGCCTTAATGCCCGCCGGTCTACCGGTGGGGCGGCCGCCGCCGGCGCCGCCGACGTTGCCCGAGCCCAAAGAGCCGAGGGCCTTCCGCACGCGCGGCGGTCCCATCGCCGAAGTCGCCGCCGCGGCCGTTCCGGCTTCATTGCTGGTGCGCGACTGAGAGGACGCCGGCCTATGCTTTCCCTGCGTAGCCGCCGACGGTCTATTTCTTCCTGCATCCCCGCTAGTGGTTGTGGGACAAGCCTGATGTTTCCGAGAGCTGCTGCCACTGCTGTTGCTACCATTACCACTGCTGGCCGACCCGACGGCACCGTTCGCACCACTTCCCGGTGCACCGCTGGGCGGAGGCGTTTCGGCGGCTTGACGCTTTGCGGCCAGGTCCCTGTCCCGTACACGCGCCTCGAGCCTCTCCTTGAGAGTCGTCTTCGGTTTCCCGGCAGCTGCCGTCGCTGCCGCCACAGCGGGGCGGCTTTTCATACCATACCTGTAACCGCCCGCAGCGTCTTCCTTGGCCGACTCGCCGGCGCCATCCTCCCCACCGCTTGACTCTAACGCCCCGGCGGCTCCTTCGTTGTCGCGCCCGGGGCCACGTTGAGCGGGGCCGCCGGCTGCGGGAGCGTCCAGGCCCGGCAGAGAGAACGAGAAGTCGGAGCCGGCGGGGGAGGACGGTGGGACCTGAGGCAGGTGGCCGGAATCGCGAGCGGCCTGGACGAGGCGGTTGATGAGGACTCCCTTCTTGCCCGACACGGGGAGGTGGTGGCGACGTAGGAAGTCCTTCAGCTGGGGGATCTGTTTAGGGGGTTGGGGTCGGGAGAGTTGCCGCCGCGTTTTCGGAGTGCACGCACGCGCACGCGGTCGGAACGTTACGCACGCAAGCATTGAAAGACAAACCGGCGCACACATGACTGGAGGGGGCACAAACACGAAAAAAGGAAAAACGATAAATCGGGCGTGCATGTGCTTGTGTAGAACGAGGCCTCCTTCAGCTGATTAAACAACCACCAAACGCTGTTGTTGCACCGGGAGGCAGTGAAGAAACGGTTTCACTTTGAAGAGCACAACCAGCACCAAAAGAAACAACAGCGGTACGACACACCGGGAAACAGTTCGGTAGCCCACGCGGCGCGCGCCAGATCTACCACGCGTGTCAAGGCACTCCAAATCGCCGGGGCGAAACACGGAACCAGCAACACGGACAGCGGGATCCCCGCATGGACAGCGGACAGTACGTGTTGCACGCACGCGGGGCCCCCACGATATCAGCGGGCGTTCTTTGCGGGCCAAGGCCACAGCCAAGAAAGAGGAGTCGTCACACCCCGGAACGGCAGAGGCGGCGAGCGCGGGCGCGCGCGCTGGCAGAAAGAACCTCGTCACCATCATCTCTCACCGTGTAGAAATGCAGGTGGTCCCAGTCGATCCCGGACCACCCGTCCGTGCCCTCCCCGTCTTCGCTGTATACCGAGAGCACGGTGACCCTCGACGAGGAAGACGCGGCTGATCCGCAGGACAGGCGTTCGTCCTTAACGGCCGACCCCCCATCGGCGCCGGCGAAGGTCCCCTTGGTCCCTCCTGCTTCCGCGGCAGAAGCCGCTGCCGTTGCTCCAGGTGCGGTGGAACTGCTCGAGGAGGAACGCTTCTTGTGCGCGAGCAAGGAGTCTGAATATCGGCGGGGGGGGGCGGCGGGGGGGGCGGTGGAGATAGAACGATACAGGGAGGGTGCACGCGTGGGATGGCGTTTTATAGAGAGCACGAAGGCCTTCTTCAGCTTGGACCGGAGGTGTCGGCCAAACCGACGCGCTGTCTGCTCTTAATGGAACCTTGCTAGGTACGAAAAACTCTCGAAACTTGTGAACTCGGAAACGCGTGGTGCTCGATTGGGTCAACAGCCATGGCGGTACCCATGGCGATAGAGACATCACTACAACAAAATCTAACGGCGGGGATGGCCCGTGCAATGAGTGAAGCGGTCGCTCGGGCGGGGGACCTGATCGTGCCCGCAACATCTTGCGCCAAGCTCAAGTGCAACACACAACAGCAGCTTATGTGTGCAGTACTCCCAAAAAAATAGACTTTTACTGTTTTCTTTCGAATTGCCTTCATTAATATTTTCTGTGACTTACGGAGGGAGGCTTCCCCCGTACCACACGTTCCGCACGGCACAAAGCCTCCGTCGTGTCCTAACGGCGGGCTACACGTCACACACTTGTGCATTCGTCAACACGTGGCCCTTGGGTTCAGTGGACACGCGTCCATCAAACTCTTGCTGCAGGAGCAGCGAGGCAGCAGAATGAAAACTCCGTGAGACCTCTCTTTTTTTGGGACCCCAGAAAACCGAATCAAAACATCCGAACCAACCACCTCCAGGGCGGCACAACAAAGAACCCAACTACATGCATAGAACTGGGAGATGTTCCGAATTTTTCCGTGCACAATAAACTACAGTTTATTCGGTCTTCGACAACAAACTTTCATACTATAGCATGGATTCCTCGCCTGGCAACCACTCCTCGTCTTCGTCTTCATCGCTGACGGGATCGAATTCGCTGTTGCTATCGTCGTCGACGTCGTCGTCGGTGTCGTCGCTAACGACAACAAACGATTGTTCTCCGACCTCGTACTCCCCACCCTCCTCCTCCTCCTCCTCCTCCTCCTCCTCCTGCTGCTGCTCCTGCTGCTGCTGCTGCTGCTCTTGCTCCGCAGCCTTACCACCATCACCACCACCTCCGACGGCTGCGCTTACTTGCGCCTGCGCCGCCGCCACCGCCGCAGCCATCGCCGCAGCCCTACCGCCGCTGCTGCCGTCGGCGGCGGTGGCGGCCGCGGTCGACCGCAGGGAAGAGTTTTCCCTCAAAAGGCGGCGGACTTCCATGTCCTTGAGCGCGGACGACTCCGCGAAATCCATCCTGGATTTTTTCAGTCACGCGAAAACCAACAGACGAGCGGGATTGAGCGACACGAGCAAATGCTGGACCAACAAGGCGCGCGAGAGAGAAGGGGGGGTAAACCTGTGCTAACACGATATTTCTCCTCGCCGACAACCATGGTCACTTCCGAATACATAGACCAAAACCGACCGCCACGAACGTCCGACCCCTACCCAACGCCTTGACGTCGTAGTGATGCTGCTTCCTCACGGCAAAAGAACAACAACATGCGTCTGGTTTCTAGTCAGTGCCTCAGGACGCACGAATTCCCTTCGCCAACAGGCTACTACTACCGTAGGTTACATAAGATACCACACCCCCCGAACCGATTCCCAAAACCCGGGTAGTAATCCACAACGAAGAGGATGCCAACATCAAACCAAAATTGTACGTTGTCGGACAGCTCTCCATATGAGGGCTCCTACACCACCATTCGAGCAGTCTTAGCGCAGGTGCTGCAGAGTAAAACCGGGCTCTGAAAACAGATCCAGCAGGGGGTGTGCTATCTTTCGCAACCCACGGTACACTAGCTCCTACGCCGAAGGCCAATCACGAGCAACAACAACAACAACAGCATCCAAAGAAGCCCGCTCTCTCTCACCCCAGAACCTTGAACTTCACGGCCTCCGAAAACAGCAGGGACAGGGCCGTCTTGCTGTCCCAGGCCGTGCGAACGCGGGCCCACCGCGTGGTGCCCGCGGCTCCCCCGGCCGCCGCGGTAGTAGACACTCCCGCTGCCAACCGGCTTGCAGGCGCGGTGTTTTTCCGGTCGGTCGAAACCAAGAACGTCTGCAAGCTCTTGATGGCCTTAACGACAAGTAACAACGGGGCGGCGGCGGCGGCGGAGCCCGGTGTTTGATGAGCGAGAAAATGGTGCAGCAGACATATCAGTTAGAGTAGCTCTTCCAGCGAACCACGACCAACGCTTGGCTTTAGGATGTGACGGGACAGAAAATACCTCACTCACGACGCGGCACAGGCGAAAACCGCAGCAACAGCGGCATATAAGCATATAGCGTTCGCACTCAAAAGCCTCTAGTTTTTGCCGGGTCTTGGGGTTGTTGGTTCCTAATATAGGCTACACATGGTCGCCATATACCAGGGTAGGTTTTAAAGTAGGGGTACTTAACCGGGCTCACAAGTGGTGCCCAAGTTCTTATGTTTTATAAAATGTTGAGCATGAATTTCTTAACTGTCAAGTTCTTAACCGTCAAGCTCTTAACTGCCAAGTTCTTACCTTTAAAGCTCTTAACTTTCAAGTTCTTACCTTTAAAGCTCTTAACTTTCAAGTTCTTACCTTTAAAGCTCTTAACCGTCAAGCTCTTAACCGTCAAGCTCTTAACTGCCACGTTCTTATCTGCCATGTTCTTAACTGCCACGTTCTTATCTGCCATGTTCTTAAATGCCACGTTCTTATCTGCCATGTTCTTATCTGCCATGTTCTTAAATGCCATGTTCTTAAATGCCACGTTCTTAAATGCCATGTTCTTAAATGCCACGTTCTTAACTGCCATGTTCTTAAATGCCACGTTCTTAACTGCCATGTTCTTAAATGCCACGTTCATAACTGCCATGTTCTTAACTGTCAAGCTCTTAACTGCCATGTTCTTAACTGTCAAGCTCTTAACTCCGGGCGGTATCTGTACCCTAAACTGCAGCTGCGCAGGGCATGAGCGCAGCTTCAAGTCCACTACGATATTGGGTAATACACCAAACACAAACAAGCTGAAAAGGCAGAACATGACCAACAGCTCCGGCGGAGAATAACAGCAAAAAACACCGCGAAAACCCCACACCTTTGACGCGGTCGCAATCCTTTCCTCCAACGCCTCCAGCTCCCCCTGCGGGCAACCTTCGCTCTCCGTCTCCGCCTCCGCTCCTCGGGCAACGCCTTCCTCGTCTCTAGCAGCATCTTCCCGGAGCTCCTGCGCCCTCCCCGCGGCCTCGCCGCGAAGCTTCAGCTGCGCCTTGAGGGCGCGCTTCGCCCTCTGCACCGCTGTGTCTTCCTGCGCCACCGACAACGACAACAACAGCGAAACGAGGCGTGAAAAACGCTGCAGACATACTGCATATATATGGTTTCTTCTTAGCACCAAGCCGGCATCACTGCAACAGAATCATCAGTCGAGACGAGGCGTGCAAAGCGCTTTACAGTTGTTTTTTGTGCTGAGCAACCGCTGGTATCACGGTTTGAAAATGCAGTGAATTGGCTAAAAACAGACCCAGCAGACATCCAGCCGGTTTCTTCCCCATTCTCTGCTGTAAAAACTTCAACTTGTCCCCCTTGACTACTGCTGTGATTACATCTCGCACATGTAGTCACTCTTCGATTTCATGTATATTTTCTAAAAAAGCTGCCGCGCCCCCAGGGACACGGAAAAAACACTTCAAGACCAATGATGACTTGGGGCGAGCCAGAGAGAAATGATCACACGCGCAGACGACGACGTGAAATCGTCCCCAGATTTTCTCCCGTTCGTTCCCAGAAGAGGGAGGAAAACAGCAGCCGCCCCGAGTCTAGCAAAGTTGCGTTCTCGCTCCGCCTTGCTTGTACCGCTAAACCTTGCCGCAACAAGGCCAAAAGAGTACCCTAGGGATTGGTTTCCCAAAACACACCCGTCCCTTCACGAAACCTTTTCACAACCACTTGTGTCAAAATGTAAAGTAGACGATATCTTGATAAACACACTGGTGCACCGAAAAAACACAAAACTGAAGCGCCAAACCAAAGCCACAGGTCAGCCCACCTCAACCTCAGTAGCAAGCCACGCCTCAATCTCCTGATAAAGTACCGAAAAAACATTCCAAAACGTAAAAGTATAAAAACCAATGCCACAGGTCACCAGCCCACCTCGATCTCGGTGGCCAGCCACGCCTCCATCTCGGCCTTCTTCGCTTCCTTCACCGATGGGTGCCGAGCGTCTCCCCTCCCCCCCGCACCGGACCCAGCCCCGTCCCCAATGCCTCCCCTGCCTCCCGTGCGGTGCGACTGCAGGGTGCGTACCTGAACGCACCGACCGATGAAAATCAAACCAATCGGTCAGTTGCCAGGAGAGCTGGCGAAACCAACAGCCTAGAGCGAGAGGAGTGAGACCACCACCTGAGAGCCAGCATCGTACCGAGTAGTACGTAGACTTGCCCACGTTCAGTTTAGAACGGTGCACCGCTGGGGTGTGCCTCAAGCCTAGGCCGTGCGAGTGTAGAGATGTGAAGGAAGCGGATGTTCTGGTATTGCCGAACCAACTACAAAAAATCAAGAGAACGTTAGAATCGAGAAAACCGCTGGGCAGGGGCAAGAAAGGATACAGGGAGAGGAGAGAAAAAAGAGCTGAAACATCAAGCAAGGCACATGAGAGAGCGTGCTTCTGCGGGTGTTGAGGACTGTCACTCTCAACCCCCTCTCGAACTAGCCGACATCCGCATAGTACCAACGACACGTCGTTGAGGCCGTGTCCCGGGCTACTCACGGACCAATCAAACTGCAGCGCAATCACCGTAGCCACCGAACGAAGACACAACACAACAAAACACACCTCCTGAAAGCTAGCGGCGCCCTGAATCTCTTCGACCACCATGGAACCAGGAGCACTACGCTCACCGCGGTAAATTTTGTGCTATTTTCTTCTTTTTGTACCTTTTTCATGGCCATGGAGTGCTCCTCCATCTTGCGCTTGAGCGCCGCCTGCGTTCTCTCCTGCGACTCTTGAAGCTTCTTGACCTGATGAACGAGTGGCATGGCGTGTTGACAGGTTTGGGGATAAGACGTCGCTACTAGGGGAGACGGTAGGAGAGCTATGAGCCACGGCGGTGGTGGTGGCAAAGACAGGAAAAGGAAAGCATTCTGAGTACAGGGGTGGACGGAAGAGACGGGGCGCGGGATGGGGGTACCACAGACACCACTGGGTGTTGGGGGTCACAGGGGCGGGGCGGAGGGGACACAGAATATACAAGCAACAAACGCCCAAAAAGTTTTTTCCTTCCGTCGAGCGATTTCTCACGCACCGCAGCAAAGCAAGCAACGCGACCTAACCTCCGGCACACCACTACTTCTGCTTACTTCGTGCAACACATCAGTCATTCGTAGAAATCGTTCATGAATGACACGAGTCCCGCGAAGAAATCACCTGCCACTGCATACGCTCCCCATCCCGCCGCATGCGCGCGTCCTTGAGATGGAGCTGCCGCGTCTCTTTCATGAAGCGGGTTGACGCCTCCCGGTGCTATTTTCGTCGAAAAAAGTCGGGGAGGGGGGGGGGGGGGGGGAGAATGCAATTGAACGGGTGTAAACGGGGGTATAATTTATTCACAACGGTGGTGCATTTCGCTAAAAATGTTCGAAGACCACCCCCAGCAACAACACCAGGTGAACAAGAGGTCTTGCGCATTGTCAAAGGAATTCCCCGGCGATTTCCTAGCGTGAGGCGAAGAGGCGAAGACTACCGAGAGTGGCTGTGCAGCACGCCGAGCCGCGATGCTGCTGTTCCTACGTACAAAATAACTGCTGCCTGCGTGCGGTCACCCCGTGCTCAAAGCACCAGCACCGGCAGCGGGACAGGCTGACTTACCGTGCGCTGCAGCTCCGCCCGCCGCTGCTTGGCTTCGGCCACCTCGGCCCTCAGCCTCTCCGCCTCCTTCGCCGCCGCCGCGCGCTCCCTCTCCGCACGCTGGTGCTCCGCGACCTTCTTCCTGCGGGTCCGCCAAACACCCGTCAAAGAGGTATTATGAATTTCTTAGTATTCCGGTTGTTGTTTTCGTCACATGAAAATTCGTCCCGGTCTCTACGCCCAGTACCTTCTAATATTCGTACTGGTCCACCCCTGCCTCGGGCGCCTTCCGTGGTCAGACCAACAAGGGGTAAAATGCATACACGCACATACACCCGTACATACATACAACCTATATCAATTTCTTTGTATACATTTTACATACGTACTTGCTTGAAAGGGGGGTTTGGGAAGCTTTGGGGGCTTGGAGGGGGTAAGGGGGGGGGGGGGGGTGTACTCATAGTCGTGCATGCCGTAGTCGTTTGACCATTGACCTCGCATCCCTACAAAGCCGGGACGGAGCACGCCGGGTTCTCACCGGACCAGGCTCTCACATCACCAAGCGCGAAGCGCCGTGAGGTATTTGGCGAGTAGCATGAAGGGTGAGCTGCATCCTGCTAAGGGTGTTCGGCATCTTGTGCTTACTTCCTTGCGTACGGATGACAGCTACGTATGACTTAATTTATTTTCTGGTGCTTTCACTTCCAGAGACAGTTGTAAGCACTGTGTAACTGCCTCGAGGAAGCTTGACCATTTTAACACAACGTGGTGCGATCATCCCCCGTTGCGCGGAGTGAGGTTTCTCGACCCCGCACAACATGATCTACTCGACCACCATCATGGTTACCGCAAAAAAAAAAAAACCAAGGTAAAAAAAAAAAAACGGTAACCTGGTTGCCGAGTTCACGAAGTGAATTGGCTTGTTTTACAACGTCGTTGCCAAGCGACGAAAACCCAATCCCGATGGCAAACACCGAGTGGGGCGGGGCGTATCAAAATGTTTTACCGTGTGCCCGGATGTCGCTTGAGACTTTCGTGAGGCGGTGTTCACCACTAAATTCAGGGCTGCAGACAGAAAGATGAAGCACTTTTCCCCGGGGAGGAGGTTTGCTGCCGAAGGAAGCAAGAATCCACAGCTGCGTGAGCCAACGCGACCCTCAGCTCAGACCATTCCCCCGCGAACCCCCCGCGTAGCCCACTTCTTCCACACGAATCAATTTCGTCAAAACACGCTGAACATATGTATACGCACGGGCAGTGATGATGCTAACGTAAACTTCGTCGTAGAGAGGCTCTAATACACAGCAAACAAGCAGCCGAGATTTAGACACAAGAGCCGCAGCCTTTCTTGAGAATGGTGATTGATTCCTTCGGCTAGCTGGCACAATGACAACCGGCCGCTCGACTCTCGTAGACCGAGCTTGCTCTCCCTGCTTTCTTCGAAGCTGTGGTTGGGGGCAAACCGAACAACCCTACCGTACGCGCAACCCCAGCAAGCACTAGATGTTATCCTTCCGTTCACTCTGAGACGAACGCTACTCCAAACCAGGCACCTGTTCTCCTTGATGCGTGCTTCCAGTTCAGCCACCCTAGCCTTCATCTTCGCGAGCGCCGCGCCCCCGCCGCCGCCTGACCCCCCCCCCCCCCCACCGCCGCCGCCGGGGCGGGAAGCCGAAGAATATGACGAAGCGCCACGGGAGAGCTTGTGAAGAAGGCCATCTCGCTCGGACTGGAGGGAGGTGACCTCTCCCTGGTTGGTTGTGTTGAGCGATGTTACCGAACACGTGGGGTACGGATTTCAACTTGTGGGGTTTGTGGTGGTTTGGGTGGTGGTGGTGGTGGTGGTGGTGGTTGTTATGATCGTTGGTGTCGCGGCTGTTTGTCGGGAACGTCAGGTGGAACTGGTTCCAGCGGCAGCAGGTCGGTCGTGCTTGCCCTCCAAGAAAACCGAACAAGGAATATTAAGCCAGGTCGTCAAAGAAAATCGAACAACGAAATATTTGGCCACGTCGTCTAGGCCGGGGGACTTCACCCTCACGGACAAAGCTTCCTCTAAATACCATTGAAACCGAACAAGAAAAAAAAAATAATGGTGGAGAAAAAAAAAAATTGAAGCACGTAGTATGAAACATGAAATTCACTTGCGCGTTGATACATGCTGACATGTCGTACACGAAACACAGGACACACATGAGAGCTAATCACGAGAAGCAGCCGGACACTTTTTCCCTTTTCATCGTTGAAGGAATCGGCAAGGAACGGAACCAACCATATATACCAGGCTACCGTATACGACACAAGATAACACACCCCCTAGACCGATTTTCAAAGCTCGATAACGCCACGGCGAACATGATGCATGGACGAAACGATACGTTTTCGGAGAGCTCTCGACCAGACGGCTTCAACGCCTCCGCTTTCGGCGCTGCGACTCTTTATGCTGTTGATAAATCGAGCTTTGAAAATCGATCCAGGGGGTGTGTTATCTTGTGTCGTATACGGTGAGTGCACCCACCTGTAGGCGGCCCAGCAGCCCCTCGAACTGTCCCTTCATCGCCTCGTAAGCCTGGGCCTGGCGCGCCTTCATCTGAAGCTCCCGTCCCTGCCCAGAGAACAAGCAAAGCAAACACGCACCCACTTTCTCGCACAACACTATTGTTCCATCACACGCCCCACGACAACGTCGAAACGGGACAAATCCCGCTGATGAAAACGAGCGGCGATCGTCTACAAAAAACTTCCTAGTTGCCTGGGCGGTTGCTGCAGCACGTGTATGAGTGCTGGGGAGGGGGAGAGAGAGGCTTCGTTCGGTGACATACCATGGACGTTGTACCCTGGCTTGCCCTGAACGGGGGATGGGGGGTAGGCACGCCATACCGCCCATAGGGTATACCAGTACGCACTACAGCAAGCAGTACGTGCCGCGGAGTAGCCCTAGAACAGTCACCGCGGCTTCGTCACAACTTACCAACAAGGCCGCATCTTGTTCTACACAACTTCGCCCACCAGCAACACGAGCAACACGAGCAACTCCTCGTGAGAACGTGGACGGTTGGAAAAACGTCCTACAACAATAATCTCGACTGATATGAACACACCTGCCGTACTGTACTGTACTGTACTGTAGCTGCAGAATGTGCCTCTTTCTATATCCTGCATCTATATATATCGTGAGAACGCCAAGTGTGGAAACAAGTTCAACAACAACATTGTAGTCTCCACTGATACATAAACTGTCATATGACGTAGATGTCTGTCTCTTCCTATTCTCCGTCTCACCTTGCTCTCGATCTCCTCGTCCACCCTCCGGATTTCTTCCGCGCCACCGTCCCCCCCGGGCTCGCCATCCTCCGGCCCCCCGCCCTCCCTCCCTTCGAACGACACGCCGCCACCGCCCCCCCCCGCCTCCTCGGAGTCGAAAGAGTCGAACGAGCACTCTTCTGTCGGAGATCCCGTAGATAGCCCTTAGTATACGTTTCAAACGCACAACACACACACAAAATATGATTGACGGCAACGGGTGCGACCATCGAGAGAAAAAAGTTGCCTTTAGCCTCTTCCTCCATCCGTGTGGATGTGCTTTTGTCGACATTCTGCGAAGTAAGAACGGCGAAAGTGACTGTACACTACCGACATGCCGCGGCACGCGACACTTCCGGGCCGGGGGGGCAACAAATAGCTAACCTGCTGGTAGGACCATGTACAAGAATATCTCTGCGGAAAAGACGACCGTGTAACCACTAACACCCACAAACGGACAAACGGTGCGGTTTTTGACACCAGCAGTGAGCATTTTCTTTGTGGCAATAACTATCTACCGAACGAGATGAAAGCCAAAAAATCACCTCCGGCAGACGAAGAGCACGTAGAAACCCTCGGTGTAGCCCCCGCCCCAACGCTAGGCGTGGAAACAACAGCGCCGAGCCCGCAGTCGCCGCCGCCGCTACCGCCACCACCCCCGCGGGCCTCGAGCCTAGCCTCGTCTGCCAGCCTGAGCCTCCCCTCCAGCGAGAACACCGTCTGCTCAAGCTCGAACACCTTCTTCCTCAGCTCCCTGGCCAGCGAGCCCGCAGCCCCGGGCCCCGACGCCTCCTTGACTTCGGAGGGCGAAGAACTTTCTGCGTCACTTTCCGGGAGCCGATCTCCGGAAGGTTCCGAAGAACCTTCTCCCTGTTCTTTTTGCTCTCCCGTGGCCCAGGCGGGAAGGCCGTCCAGGGCGCGCGGTGCTTTCTCCTTCAGCAAGGCCGAGAGCTGTCGTTTTCGCGCGAAGAACGTTGTCCGGCGGCAGAATGGTGGCACACGGAAGAACGGGATGATGAGTTCCGCGAGACACCGGGAAAAAAAAACACACACACACACACACACACACTCGCGCGCAGACGCGAAAAGATCACCCGCGTGGAGAGCACAGCTGCGCGCGACCACACACACGCCCAAGCTCGAACAAGACCCACGTACCTCCCTCCGCAGGGGAAGGTGAGAAGGCGCGATCTCTGCAGAACGTTAACAGAGTGATGGTCTTTTCACGCCCAACAGCCCTCGGATCGAGCGGTCTCACGCACGCGCGTCGGTCGATTCGTCGGCGGCCGTCTCCGGACTGAGTGAACGTATAGTAGGGCCCCACTCCCTTAAAAGTGGCACATTCCAGGCAATCGTTCCTGTCAACCCATAGATGTCCCCGGTGCCACCAAGGCGTCTATCTTGTGCTGCCTACGGTATGGCCTCGAGGCGGGGCCAGCAGGTGCGCACGGCCGATCGATGCCCAACCGCAAGACGACACAAACATCCACACCCAAGCCCCCCGCCCGCGCGATGTAAATAGTCGTACCTGCTCGCAGCGAAGGCGCCACGTGTCCGACTCCAGTCGGGCGGACATCTCTCCCTCCACCGCTTGGGTCGCGCGCCGGGTCTCCTCCAGCGCGCGCCGCTCCAGGTCCGCTTGCCCTCTTCAGGACACGCGAGGAAGAAGGGCCGGTGGCGGCGACAGGGACATGAAGGGAGGAACTATTATAGTGGATCTAGGACGCGACGAAGAAATTACGCAAGCTTTTTCTATGCCGGGGGCATCATGCCTGTCTACGCACGGGGCGAATCATTTTTCAAGAAGGGCATCCGACGAGACAAGTGGGTGCGCGTGCAAGACTATCGAATACAACACAAAACGGCGTGGCGAGGACAACACCACCCACGAAGGGAAGCAATGCCCTCCACACCCAAAACAACCACAGTCCTGCAAACACAGCCATAGATCTCCACTTCGGGGCAGCCGACATACGTATCGCACCTTCGCAGCTCGGCCGCCTCCTCCAGCGCGTCTCGATACGCCTCCCCCCCCCCTCCTTCGCCACCCATTCCCATCCCCCGCCCCCCTGTGCCGAAGCCGAACCCGCCCGCCAGCCCCGACAGACGAGCCTGAACCAATTCTACCTCCATCACCCGCACCTGTTTGCGCAAGGCCATGACCTGAAGAGCTCGGCGGAGCGAGCACGGTCGGGAAGGCCGGTGGTAGCGGCGGTGAAAGAACAAACAGAGATCGCACACTTTCAAAACGAAGACAACACATTTTCCACACCGAAGTGAAGTATACGTTTTTTTTGTTCCGTGTAAACCCCGATGGTAAACACACATACCGCGAGAAGGCGTTCGGTCCAAAGGTTCCAGGAAAAGTCAGACAGGACGGAAAAGTGGAAATTCAAGCGTTCTATATCGTCCCCCCCTGTGCCCAAAACACCCGCATTCCTTCGGAGCTATCGCTGCCCCCAATGGATCACGGCGTGCACCGAAAGTAGACAAGAACCAACAACAACGTTCTGTCCGAGATAGGAAGCTCGACCTCGAAATCTAGGTCGAATGGTGCAGGGCCGACGAACGTCAGAAACAGGCCAGGACAATCATCTCCCCGAGCTTCCTACAGAGTCGACACACACACCGCCCGAACCAATAGCTCCAAGTGGATGCATCCTACCTTTCAATCTCGAGAAAAACCGACCTAGACTACACTAGCCAGCAAGCGCAGAGGCAGCCGCGTAATGGAGTAAACTCAACCTGGTTCGTACGCCACGCATAGGATACGGGGGTACTGCTGTATGGGTTGGACGACCTCTGGACTAGCCCCCCACGGCATGGTAAACTGGGCCCTGTCAAATGTTTTTTGCAAACCGTGTATAATTGACTACCTCCGCGTAGCTGACCGGCGGTCCCGACACGTCCTCGTTCTTCACAGCAGTGTTCTGGATGTTCATCGCGCGCTCGGCGTAGCGCAGGGTGTTGACGCTCTCTCCCATGTTGCTGGACACCAAAAAAAAAAATGAAGACAATAAAAACGAAAAACAGGGACAGATAACCCGCGTTTTTCGTCAGCGGAGAATAGAGGGGGATCGGGGGATCGGTGGTACGTGCACCGTCTACAACTCTACGGAGGGGGGGATCGGTGGTACGCAGCATTCAGAGCCTCTATGGGTACGGCGGCGACAGTAGTAGGTGCCCCGCTCCGTGCGTCAGAAAAAAAAAAGGCGATTTCTAGAAGAGAGTTTTACAGCACGCATGACCACGGGAGCGGCGGAGCCAGAGGCAACAAACGCAGGCAAGGCAGGAAAAAGCAGCACCCCTGACGTGCAAGGGACGCTTGACGATGGTAATGCTGTGCTACAGCCGGTGCTCAGCGATAGCGATAGCGGGGGTGGGGCCTCGACTCGATGCCGTGGGCGCGGCCTCCCCCCAGAACCGTGCACGTCTTCGCACCAAGCGCATGGATGGAGGGGGGTGTACTCATAGTCGTGCATGCCGTAGTCGTTTGACCATTGACCTCGCATCCCTACAAAGCCGGGACGGAGCACGCCGGGTTCTCACCGGACCAGGCTCGAGAGGGCAAAACGACTCCTCAGCCTGATTATCCAGTAACAACCGGAACGGGGGGGCCAGCCCAGCCAGCCGCAACAACGCCGACCCACCTGTCTGCCGGGCTGATGCAGGCGATCATAAGGGTGTGCGAGTTTCCCCCGAGGCTTCCCTGAAGCAGCCTCGTCAGCTTGGAGTCTCGGTAGGGAACGTGACCGCCGCCGCCGCCGCCGCCACCGCTACCGCACCCCTCCGCCAGCGCTGAAATTACGTTTCCTAGAGCCAGCAGCCCCTTGTTGATGTTGATGCCTTCTCGCAGGCGCTTGCCCTACGTAAAAAAATAAAAAACAGAGGCACAACTAAACATAAACAGCGATTCTAGCATGAAAAACCCGGGAGGTAAGGTCTACATGGTGTTTTTTACCCCCAGCCGACAGGAAGCCCCCATGGACAATGCGTTGTCAGTAAAGGGGCGCTCTACTCGCAGCACTGTTGCATCGAAGATTGAGGAGGAGGAGGCGAGCTGTATATAAAATTCACAACTTTGCGTGTTGCGCCTGTCAGGGTTCCTACCGCATAAGGAAAATTAAGAAAAAATAGGCGGGGGAGAGGGGGCGCGACGGGGCCATGGTGTTTTTGGAGAGCCAGGCGACGTCAGAAGACCCATGTAGACGTCCAAAATTTTCGGCCATGCCTGACAGTCGGGTAGCTCCGCCTATCATCGACCCGCTTTTACCCCTTCACCATGCGCTGTCCAGCCTGGCTTGTGGAAATCCGACGTGCTCCGTTCCGCAAACTTTAGGCATGACATCGAGTACGCCATCCTATTGCCGACCACACCTCCCTCGCTGACATCGTGAACCCCTACATAACACGGACTCCCCCCCGTCCCCCGCCTGCAATGACAATGCGTACCCCCCTTGGTGATGTGATAGCCTGGTCCGGTGCAAACCCGGCGAGCTCCAACCCGACTTTGAAGGAACGCGAGGTCAATGGTCGATAACGACTACGGCATGCACGTCTATAGTACGAGTACCCCCCCCCCCCCCCCCCCGTCCGGTGGTACGCACCTCCGCCCCGGTCTTCTTGGCGCGCTCCGACCCCGCCAGGTCGACCAGGTGGAACAACGACGAGGTGACAGTCTCGTCCGACGTCTCCGTCGCCGGGCGGACCATCTGGAAGCTCAGGGTGCAGATGGCGTGGGAGCGGCTGCTGTGGGCGTTCATGTTGGTGCTTGCGGTCGTCCGGCAGAGGGCACCGCGCTCGAGCAGGCTCTGGAGGTTCTCGGCACCGTTGATCTGTAGGTAGATAGAAATAGCAATGCCAGGCAGAACGGAGCGGCAGGGCGTGTGCGGTTGAAAAAACTGCTCTCTCTCTCTCTCTCTCTCTCTCTCTTTCTCTCTGTGTGTTTGTTCGTGATTTGTTTCAAAGCTCTTGGTGCCTGGCTCGCAGCAGCAGCGCAAGCTGGAAAAACATGAACCCGTCCGCGGAGGAAGAAGAAGCCAGAGCACACTGCCCAACAAACAGACCAAAAAAACACCAGGCAAGTGTCTGCAGGCAAGGTAAGCAGACAGACAACATCCCGCCGCATCATCAGGGGGAGGACTACTCTACTGCTGCTGCCGTTGCTGCTGCTGGGGCGTACTTACCTCGTGCTTGCTGAGGCCAGACAAAAGTATGACAGTCGTGTTAGACACACAGACGACCTTGCGCTGCATCATCACGGGGGAGGACAAAACTGCTGCTGCTGCTGCTGCTGCTGGGGCGTACATACCTCGTGCTTGCTGAGGCCCGACACGGTCACTTCTCCTTGCGTGTTTTCCCGGAGCGGCAGCCCCGCGGGAACGGCCCCTTCGGTACCGCCGTCGCCACCGCCGATGAGGTCTTTGATCTCCTCGTTGATCACCTGCGCTCCCGGTCGACGCGTAGCCGCGGAACAAGCCAGCACGGCATGCAGCATGTGTGACACGTGTCGGCATACAACTCATGTACAATGGGACGTCGTGAAGGGAAGTTGTGGCTGGGAAACGATTCACAACTGCTGTTTCTGATTAACGAAGACGGCATGAAGTGTAGGTACTGCTGTAGAGTATCGAGAAAAGCGTTGGGCTGACGGACTAACCTCCAGGAAAGAGGCGTGAACGGAGGCCTTCACCCCCTCCGCCCGAAGCTCTTCGATGCGCTTGAAGAGGTCGGTAACCGCGCGGGGGATAATGCCCGCATCTTCCGGAGACCCGTTAACCTGGAACACAGGTATCGTCGTCCAAAACACAGCGGTAAAGAGCAAGAATCCGGCCATAAAACTCCTTGGGTAGTGTACGGTTTGTTGTGAGGGCGTGTTCGATACCCCAACACTGGTGAACCCAGCGCAAGACAGACAGGGTGTCACTCTGGCCGATTGCAACAGCAGCAGCAGCAGCAGCAACAACAACAACAACACAGCGGTAAACCGTGCAGCTTACCGTGTAAGCGTTGCCAACGGTATGGGTCTTTCCGGAGCCCGTCTGGCCGTACGCGAGGATCGTGGCGTTGAAGCCTTCGAGGCACCGCCTCACCAGAGGAAGCGCGGTGCTCCGATAAACCTGACGATCGATGGCAACGTAGGCACACACGGTGGCAAACGGTGCTGTCCTTGACGGGTTTCTTTTCGCGGCAGAACAGCAACGAGGGCGATGATGGATACGGCTGTGGTGTGATGGAGGACACGATATCGTTGGGAAAAAAAATGTTGAAATGGAAAAATGGCGGGGATGACGAGGGAAAACGGGCAGGAGTGGTCGTATGGTGCGAAGGACAATGCGTTGTTTACGGTATGAGAGATGGCCGTGGCTGCGCCACGATGGACGCAATGTT